GAGTAAGGGAAGGAGATGATTAATCTAGGGGAAAAAATATTTTTTTTTATCATTTGTGGGGAGAACAACAAAATAGTTGTTTTCAAACGTCAAATAGATTTATTTCTTGTGGATCTAGATAGACCACTGGAGAGACATAATGGGGAGGAAGATTTGGGATTGTTACAAACACTAATATCCTAAGAATAAGATTTGACAAAATACAGAATAACCTTCCTTGTGAAACTGGGCAATTCAAGCAGTGGAGACTCGTGATTGATGGAAGGGAAAAGTCTTGTTCTGACAAGGGTAAATTCGACAGCTTCTCAGGGTGTTTCCAACTCAAAACTACTTGGAAAGTGTAAACTTCAGAAGTGTGAGTCTTTGACTTTCTGGAACTTATTTCTGGCCTTTGGTTGGCTCAAAATATTTCTGATGTGCATCAGAGCCATATTGTAATAAAAATCTGTTTGAAACCTCATGTTAATATTTATCCATGACTACTTTTCTCTTGTTTTGATCAGAATAATGTTAGAAGCCTTTTATTTGTTGATGTGTGAATGCATATATTTAAGTAGCCAGCAGGACTGTAACAATTCTCTACCGTCAGTATAAAAACCTAGGTTATTTCTGTTCTTAGTAATATTTTTGTGACTAAGAGTTTCACATATTGTGAAGTTAACATTGATCTTACTCTTTATACTGAATGTCTATTTTTTTAATATAGGTTTTCTTCCTTACTGTGTCCACCTTGGTTGTTTGTGACTCTATAGAGTAACTGTTGTACTTAAAACCTGTCTTAGGATGCTTCATATAGTCTACTGTTATACCACAGTAATTTGTATCTGGGCTTTATTTCCCCAGTTAGATCCATCCATCTACCCATCCATCCATGTATTCATATATCATCCCGTTCATTTTTCAACAGGCTTTTTGCTGAACATGTACTATGTATAGGGTATTCTTATAGATTCTGAAGATGCAGTGATAAGAAATATTGCCTGCTTTTGAGAAGATCACAGAGAAAGGAAAGGAAGTATACGTGCAATCAGCCAAGTTTTTAGTGCAGATAGATAGGTGGTAGATAGAGCTAAAATAAGGGTTTGCTCAAGGCGCTATGGGGACATTGAGGAGGATCGATCGCCTAGTCATCAATTAGGGTGGGCTGGTGGGGGAGCTCAGGGCAACCTTCCCAGAGTGCGGTGGGGGAAACTCTAAAGCATTTGGAAGGATGAGTGACCTTGCCTCGTGGAAGTGAAGGGCAAGAGCCTCTGGCAGAGGGCACGGAGCCCCTTGCTGTGTAGTCATCTCTGTTCTTCTCTGTGCCTGCTTCCCTGTCACGTGCAAAGTATACACTCGTTGATTTGAAGGGATCTGAAAATAAAAATTTAAGAACTGCTGCTTGCAGTTTCACGGTTCTCTAAACCTCGCACCTGGACATCTGAGAAGAAATAAAAAGGTGAGACTCAGGTGAGTTCTCTAGATGATTTGGTGGGAAACTACTGAAACTCTCAGCTGATGGCAAGAGCAGGCTCCCTCTGGAATTTCAATTTCTTAAGCTGTCGGTTCCTCCTGCAGGCGGGATCCTGGAGAGGCGAACTGAGAAGTCGGACCAGGAATGAAGAAATGTCACTGTCCTGATTTTTTCTGCCAGTGCTTCCAGAAGAAAGTGAAGTAGAGTGCTCCTCACTGCGGCTTACTGCCAGCACAGCTCTCCAACCCCTGCATTTTCATGTTTTGTATGTTGGAGGCCACTTCCTTTGCCTTTATTAATTTCATTCCTGTGGGTAAGACACACTATTCTGACCATTTTTTAAAAACTTGCAATTTTTCATCTTTTGTTTAGTGATTTGGAGCCCCCATGGCTCAATTTAGACTCTGTACAGAGGAGAATGTCTGCAATAACGGGTGATTTTTGTCCTCGTAGCAAATAACAAAAATCCACAAATCACCTCTCAGAAAAAAAGTAGTGGAGCTTTTATCTACCTTCCCACTACTCAGCCAAGAAGGATGAGACATAATGTTACAAGGACTATTTAAAAAGTGTGGTAACTAATTATCTTTTGTATGTATCCAATATTTCTTTGTGTTTTACTAGTAGGTAGAAATAGATGTCATTGTATCGTTATGGGGAAAAAATCGTGTGTAGTAATGGTTAGTTTAGCTTCTCCCCACTAGGAGTGAGTTTTTTATGGCTCTTTCACTGAGTCTGCCTTTTCCTGTGTGTGCTGGAGTGAAAATGAATCAACCCCCTCTGGTCACGAGCAGATTGCCACGCTTGTGCTCTCAATTTTTCTGACTCTGCAGAGCTGGGTGGGACTGAAGAAGAGTCACCGGGAGGCCCAGGGCCAGAGCCCGTGAGGTCTTTGTCCTGTCCTCACACAGGAATCTGGGGGGGAGAGCTAATGTATACCACAGGGAAGGGAGGAGCTTACTGTAAAGTAAAATGCAGCTCCAAGCTAATAAAAATTAAAAAAACTATAGCCTTAGAAGTTTGGCTTTAAAAAAAATAGCAAGGACATAACCCTATTTATAACATCATTTGGCACAAAAATTCTTTTTGAATCATCTTGTGACAAAACCCATAAAATTGGCTAATACATTAGCCGGGATAAGATGCTAAGGTGTTACAATGATGCGCTTTACACTGATGTATATACAATGGTTTGAGACAATAATAGTGGTAGTAAATGTGTCCAAGGTTTTTGAGTTTTTTGGCAAAACAGAAAGAACTTTGTGAATACGTAACTGCTTTTGTATGTCAAAATAGGGCTTGAAACTAGTGGTAAGCAAGGCTAAACTGGATCTTTGGTACATTTTTAGCTTTTATAACTCATTTTAAGGTAAAAAAAATTCAATAAGAGCTATGTAAATTGAGTCTTGAGGATTCAGAGAAGTAATTCTCTGAAGATTTTGTTATTGTTCTTAAGAATGTGATTAAACGCAATGAGACTAGCCAATGTGCTAAACAATAGTAAAAATTTGGAGACAAGATCTAACTATAATAGTAGCTCATTAATGTTTTTTAAAAACTAATTCATGAATGCAACAACATTTACTGAGTTCCTACTATGTGTCAGACCCCATGCAGGCACCAGAGATACTTGGTGGCTAGGCAGATGACAGAAGAATCAATAGTGGCATTTGTCATAAGGGAGCATACACTCTAGGGGAGAAGGTAGAAAGGAATCTGGGGGAGGGAGTGCTGTGAGGACCTAGTTGGGAGCCCTGGAGACACAGCGGAGGTGGGGAGGGTACAGCCAGGGAAATAGCTTCCCTGGACCCAGTGTGGTGGTGAGGGCAAAAAGTGATTGCACTTAAATTGAATATTCAGTACCAGTTGACTTCAATTCTGCACATGATGCCTTACTTGATTAGTTAAGTATAAATTTGTTTGGTTCCTGCTAAAATAGTACCCTTAAGTGGAAATTAAAAAAAACAAGCCACAAGTCTCCCTAATGCTGATTTGTATTTGCTGAGTGTTTTGTGATTTAGATGCACAGCAAATCAGCTGAAGTCAGTAGTCACAGCTGAAATACCAACACTAAAGAATACATAGTATGGGGCTGTTTAGAGGAGAGGGATTTATTTCATTAACATTTAAAATCTCTAAAATTTCTAAGACACGTTCTGGCTCAGAAAATTGCGAAGGAAAATTAAGTAGAGAACTAGAACTATAGAAAGCTGGGAAATACTTTTGCTGAGCTTTCTTTACACAATAGAAATGAATCAGTGATTTAAAAAAAATATAGTTTTTATTAAGAAAATCAGTTCATTGCTTTTGAATACTTGTTTTCTCTCTCACAAGGCTGTTAGCTCTACAAGGGAAAGACTTGGTCTCTTTTGCTCACTGCAATATCCCCAGCATCTAGTACAGTTCCTGACACATACATGCATTTAATAAGTATTTGCTGAATGATTGTTGTTGAATACATAAAATGAATGTCAGTTTCAGAAATTCATCACTTTCAGGCTATATACATAATGCAGACCATCATAACAAAGAAAATAGAATGAACCAATTCTTTAACTACAGAAAAATTTCTGTAAGTACTTTGAGCAGAATATAGCTAATTTCACAACTGGCCTTTACATATGACCTACCTGTAATCATATTTAAATTTTTCTGTCTTGGTCAGTTTTCTTACAAAAATTGTTCAAACGTACATTTTACATATCAAAGCTCAACCACGTTTTAAAAATCAGCACATTTGCGTGTACTTAATTTTAAAAGATGCTATTTTTCAATTTAACTCTTGATTTCCCTCCATGGGAAATGTTGTAAATATTTGCAACTTAAAACTGTGAAGCCCCAGTGAGCTCCAAGAGTAAATGATGTATTGGAATTTCAACAGCATTTCTGTAATTCTGAAATAAGAACTTGTTTTTTCTTTCCTTTTCTCCTCCTTCAGTGTAGAAGCACTGTAGTCCAAGTTTCCGGAAGATCGATATCTAACCTTGTCATATGGGGTGAAAGTAGTGTTCTTTCCTGCCTGGTTGATAGGAAGGTTACTTTAATGGTCTCAGTTTCCGGAGACTTTATTTCAAGTCTCAAAATGTGAGTATGCCGAAGGACTGCGCTTTCGCGGGATCTGAGCTGTGAGCGTCTGGGTGACATCTACCCCCATTTCTGAAAGACGGGATCGCGGGTGGCATGCACCTCTGGCGGTGATCTACTGGCTCACGCTTACAAAGCACTTCACAAGTTCCCGACCACTGCGGAGCCCAGACCGTGCTGCCCCTCCCGCGTGTTCCTGCGGTGCCAGCGGGTCCGCGCGCGCTCCCGGATGACCACCGGGCAGCCTCGAGCGCGCCCGACCTGCTGCACGGTCAAGTTCCGCACCACAGGGCTCCGCAGTAACGGCCGCGAGCGAAACCAGGCGAGCGGGCGAGCCCGGAGCCGGGCGGAATCGCGTTGACACCTGCGGGGTCTCCGGGACCCGGGCGCCAGGACCGGCGCTCCTCCGCCCCGCCCCCCGTTCGACCCCGCCCCGTCCGATCCCGCCGCCGCCGCCCTGGGAGGCTTGTCCCTTGCCGCCCGCCGTAGCCCGGCGCTCAGCCGGTCGCCGTTTCCAAGATGGCTGCGGCGCGCGCGGCTCCTGCGGCGGGCTAGAGGCAGAGGCGGAGGCGGAGCCGAGTCACTCTCGCACTTTGGCGCCCCGGTCCCCGGTACTAGGCTGCAGCTTACGGCCCGCCGCGGCCATGCGGAGCTCCGTGCACGGATGAGAGAAGACGCCGCCGAGCTGGCCCCCCCGCCCGCCTTCGCCGTCACCCCTGCCGCCGCCATGGAGGAGCCGCCGCCGCCGCCGCCGGAACCAGAGCCCGAGCCCGACTGCTGCCTCACTGCGAGGTGAGTGTGGCGGCCGCAGCAGGCTGCTCGCTGAAAGCGGGTTGGGTCCTGGCCGGAGCTCGGCCGGAGTCTGAGGGCCTCTGCTTCCCGCCAGGTGGGAGGGAAGCATCCAGGATCTGCGGTCTGGGGCGGGAGGGGCGCGGTGCATCTCTGGGTCCCAGGGAACCGCGACCGAGTCCGCCGAGCGACTCCTCCGGGGTTGCGGCGTCGCAGGGGTCCGCTCGAGTGCACAGCCTGCTGGCCTCACTGCAGGCTTCACCGGCTCACCCTGAGCGTGGCGGGGGCTGGGAGCAGAGTGCGGTCCTCCCCCCTCCCCCGCCACGAGCTTCTGAAGAGTGGCCGCGCTGAAATTCCTGTCAGCATTACTGAACGAAAGTGGTCCCTCTTCTCCGCCCCCATTCGGGAAAAGGAGACACTCGAGAATCAAATGCACACTGGCGGTATCCTCGCGTTCTCCTTCCCTCCTTTTGCCTGCTCCGGAGAATGCCTGCTGTCTCTCCAGTGAGAAACTGCACATAGACTATGCAGACAGGCAGGTTGTTTTCTTTTCCTGAGGACCTTTTACTGCCCTTTAATGGTAGCATTATGCAGATTGTTGCTCGCACGTGCACATAAAGTAAGGATTGATTTGTCTAAAACTTTGCTACCGCAGGAAGCCCTAAGATGGAACTTTGGTACACAAAGCATTTGTTGCGTTCTCTCATGCTGACTCTATTAATTACTTTTATGTCTTTATTTTTTAATTGGGAGAACAAACTCACTATAATTAAGAATTTTCCTCTTTTTATGTGCCTGTTTATGTTTCTATGTTCGAATGTCCTCTTACTCCTTGTCCTTTGCATCCCAGAGTAAACTTGCAAACTGCTGCCCCCTGTCCCCTACACTGAAAATACTTCTACAGCTCTTGCATCTTAACCATCTTGCTCTGTAGTTCTAAGAATAAGGCAGTAAAGTGTCCTCTTTCTTTTTCTTGCTTAAAGAAATTGTAAGTCCATGGCTGTACTTAGAACTGAACACAGGAACCACATTCTTGATTGTCATCATCCAGTTGGCCCAGACAAATTTGTTTTATAAGCTGTGTACAAAGTCGTTGCTTCACTTTCCTTAATTCTGAGATACTTCTGTGAACTTTTAAGGAACAACTTCTCTAAGTAATGGTGCAGGGTGTAATGAGACTTCCTTTTGTTCCTTTTGAATACATCTGATATTTTGGAAGTTTTGTCAGAAAGTTTATTATATAAACTTGTGGATTCAGTTGTTGAGCAATTTTGACTCCTTTAAGTTTCTCTTTAAAAATAATAGTGAATATTTCTCATCTGCTGGTTTGTCTAAAAAATAAAAAAATAGTGAACACTTATTAATTGCTTAAAATAGGCCATTGCCCTTACTTAACTCATTTAATCCTTACAACAACCCTATGAAATAGGTCCCATCATTGTCTCTCTTTTGCAGATAAGGAAACTGAGGCACACAGGTTAAATGTCCAAGGTTTCACAAGTTGGTAATGACCAAAGGTCTGGCTGCACAGTCCATGTCCTTAGCCGGCGTGAAGAATCCATTCTCCAAATGGTCAGATCAAAAGTTACAATTCTATGCAACAATGTTGTGGGAAGCAATGGATGTGAACATTCTTAGTTAAAAGTAAAAAGGGCAGAGAAATGAAAATACGCTGTAAAAACGACTGCTTCTGCAGTGATAAAAAGAAACCTTGATTTTTCAGCCATGTTTCTGTCTTTGTTATAACAAAAATAGGTCAGGATAATGGGCTTCATCGAGCTTTAAATGAACAGCAGTGTACGGAACAAGAAGATCTTAGAAATAGTTTTCTTAGCAACATTACAGTTAATTTTACAATAGCAAATGAATAAAGCAGATTATTTGACAAAGCTGTTATTTTCTCTTTTTTATGCCCTTGTCACCATGTCTTTAATACACAGAGCTAACCTCTGACAAACTTACAGTAGATCTTTGGTAAAAGATGTTGCAGGGGTTATCCAGTTGTTTAATTGAATTTTTTAAAATACTTTTACCATTTTAAAGAAGCTCAATATACATGTTCAAAATGTGCTGAGTGCTACCTTTTAAAACATTGGAGACCAATAATGTGGTAATTTGTGCTACCAGGTTAACTGGTTTTGCCACAGACCAGAATAGATGGCTCTCTCTGCCATCCCTGTCATGTTGTCTGTGTGTCATTGATTAGAAAGGTATTAATGCACAGTTCTTTTGTGGAATTCAGGCCTGTACATGCCGGCTTCCAAAGTTGTACCACAAGTGCACCACTGTGGCAGATGCCAGCCAGCCCAGCACATCTGTTCGGTGTGTGCTTTCCTCCTGACGTGAGAGTTATGCAATGATTGAAGAACACAAAACAGGTTGAGAGGTGATAGTACTCTATTATAGTTTTACTGCTTATTGTTAGTTGTGAATGCCTCTTGTCCTTATTTCTGAAAAGAATTCATGATAAGGAGAGCAGTTGTGATTGTTAGTGATTAAACTTTGAAATAAACATTACTTATAATTTCTTTTTCAAGCTTCTGGGTCAGTTTTAGGAGAATCCTGAGATTACCAGGAGAGCTATTAAAACTAATTTGGAACAATGTACCTTTGTGATTTCTTGGATCTAGGCACTTAGAAAAAGAGGCTAAATTGAATATTTAGGGTGATACAGTGCTCTTCTCTGCTGTAACCTTTCATTTAAACTATTATTAATATATTTATGTTAAACATAGCCTCATTGTTCTCACTTGCTGACCTTGTAAGTACACGTTACATGAATTTAACAGTAACTTTTTTAAACCAATACTTTATTATTTACTTTATATAATATAGTTCTTGTAAATTCATTTGAAAAAATGGGTTTCGCTACTAGGAAGGTACTTGAATATCATCTCTAGGCGATTTGATCTCTCTCTCTCGACTTGAATGAATACCCACTTTGAGCCTGCTTGTTTCAGTCTTGAGATTGCATGTCACCTGTTCTCCCTGGTGAAGTCAGCCTTTTGTGAAGTTCCAGATTGTTGGTGTAGCATCAGTCATGGACGTACCTTTAGACCACTATAACAATAGATATCATTGGTGGGGGTGGCAGAGAGGAGGAGTCACCAAGCAGCAGTAAGAAAGGGCTCCAGTGATGACAGAAACTTCATGTTTTGAAAGGGGACAACTCAACTCTCAAGAAAACTTTGTGGTTCCCTTCAGTTGTCTGTCATGTTGTTAGAAGTTGCTCTCCTTCCTTCACATGTGCTCTCTTGGTGTCCTGCAAATCTTGTTCTGAGCTCTACTGAAATATAGGGATATAAAGGTCTTACTGCTCAGTGGATACATTTTCGTTAATAACTTCCTGTTACTTAATAATTCCTCATTCCTCAATGATTATCTTTTTACTCATAGCATTCTGTTGTCTCAACCCTCTCATTTGACCAGGTGGTATGTATTGTTTAAAGACTCTTTAATGTTGCCTGTCAGTAAGGCTATTGGAAATAGTTTCTTTAAAGAGAAAATGGAAACACTGTCAGAACAGGAGATTGGTTAATGACTCTGCACGTCTTTATAAGCTGGCATTACCTTGGCAGGATAATCAAGGTCCAGGCACTCACGGTGCTTCAGCTTCTCAGGCACAGATACTCAACTTTGTACCCCTAGTTAGTCAGTGTATGCTCTTGTCTGTAGAAAGCCAAAGTATAATTAAGAGATTGATTGGTAAGCATGACATTAGCAGGAGAAGTGAGTTGAGTGATCTTAGTGACCGATGTTAGCAGACCGGCGAAGTTGGCTTGCATCCCTGTCAGGCGCACCCTTGTTTCTGGTATGAAAGGCAGTGTAACAAAGTCTTACTCTGAGGATTTTATTTTCTAGGCTTCACACAGGCTGCTTCTTTCCTCTTGTCACAAACTTCCCTCAGTTGGTTGGGTTATGGTGTGTGTGTTTTTAATCTTCAGTCTTTAATTAGATTTATGACAAACCTTGCTTTTGCTGCTTTAATTTGGGTTATATTATATTCTTGTCCCTTAAAGACATTTGTTTAAAAAAAAAAAAACCCTCAGATTTTTACTAATGGTGAGTATCAGAGGATCACCTATTGTGTCCACCCTTCCCATAATCTCTCCCACCTCCTTTGGCATAGTTTCTGAAAAAGGTGTGGCAAAGATGTCAGTGGTTGGTGCTTTCATACAATTCTTCTTGAGTATTATGTTCAAAAAGGATCATGATGGCATGTGGTTTTTCTGGATATAAGTCATAAAATTAAAAAACTTAGAGCTACATCAGAATTCTGTAGAGCTGTTAAAAACTGTAAAGACTATTTAGTGACGGGAAAATGTTCATGATACAAGTCCTTTTGGGTAGGACCTGAATATCTACTTTCAAAAAGCTTCTTAAGTACTTCTGTTATATACATACGTACCACTGTGTTCAATGAAAAAAGCAGATTATACAACGGTATTTGCAGAAGTTGGTGGCCAAAATTTGAGGTGACTCTCAGCTCATACATATTTCTCCACTAGCTCCGTCCTACCCCCGTTTCTTCCCTCTCCTTCATTTGGGGGAATCCTTCTCTTAACTCTAGCTTACATGGGTGGTTCAAATTGGAGCTGTGCTCTTCTCACAGACTCCTGTCTGTAGGGATGGACATTTGGAAATAGTTTCTTTAAAGAGAAAACAGCCATTAGGGTTCTTCCCTGGGATTTTTAAAATTGGAGCTGGGTGAGACAAATGCTTATTTTCATAAGTGAAATACATACTGTGAAGTCATGAGCCTAGAGATAGCTCCCTGAAGCTGTGGTCAATCTCGCAGGGAAGTAGCTTGGTCTCAAACAGTGATGAGAAAAGCAGAGATGCTGAAAGAGGTCTATGGCCAGTTGCCCTTTATGCTAGATTCATCCTTTTTTTCCCTCTTGATATGTGAACTAATAGATTCTCAATTTGTGCTTAAAACATTATTAGGTCATTAAATATGAAATGTCTGATTTTGAATCAAAAGTTTAATTTATTATAGCTCA